TTTTATTACATGATAAATTAGATATAGAGTTAATATAAACTATTATTGCTCTTCGATTAAGGGTATTATTAACTTTAACTCGATCAAACACGTAGTTCTCGTGGGTTCGACACTTTACACACTACTATATTACTTGATTACGACCCCGTTCACTTGCAGGAAATCAAACGATCAAAATAATCTAAATTATGTTCAGAATTTAAGCCCTAGAAAATACCAGGAAAATCAATAATGGTTGTTGTGGACAATTAAAAAATGTTTTATTTTAAAAAAGGATTTATAAGTATGATTATTTATGTAATATTACTTATGGTCATATTATTAAATAAAAAAAGGGAAAAATGCGTGGTTCAGGGATTTACTTTCATGAAATCAAAAATCAAGCCCCAAAGTTTAAAATTACAAAACTCAGGTTTTTTCATCAATTAATTAATTATATTTTACAATTAATCTATGAAATTAAATATTTAACTATAATATAATATGATTACCCCACCCCACCCCACCACCACCGCTCCGGCGACTACTCCGGCGACCGACGACTGTTCTCTGGCCATGCTTAATTCCGACGACTATTTTCCCGTCACCGTTGCTCTGATTCCAAGGTCACAGATACCTTATTNTACCTTATTAAGTAGTTAAAAATTTAATTTTGGTGACAACTTATCATATTATTCGGTCATAGATTATTTTGAAGTCATAAATGAAAAAATTTATATGTCACAGATTTTTAATTAGTCACAGTTAATAAAATTTGTTGGTCACGGATTATTTTATTGGTCGGTCATGTATTTTCAAATATGTAGGTCACAGATTCCTTTTCAGTTACAAATTATCAATTTTGAAGTCACAATTTAATAGCTAGGTCACAGAAACAAAAAAAAAACTCACAACAATTCAATAGCTAGGTCACATACACTAAAAAATCGCCACAATTCAATATCTAAGTCATAGACACACAAAAAAACAAAACAACCACTGCCCACAGATCCACCACCACCGCTCACTTACGCACATAGATCCGCCACCAGGTTCAATAACTAGGTCACAAACAAAAAAAAATTCAACAACCGCACACAGATCCACCACCACCGCCTAAAACATACCACCGAGCACCCACACACATAGATCCGCCACCTACACACAAATCCGCCACCCACCCAAAACGCCCAAAAAACTTTCAGCAGCGTCGACGTTGCTGGGTCCCAGCAGCGTCGAAGCTGTTGTCACTGCTGTGCGACACAGCAGGCGAAGCTGCTGTGTCGCACAACAGTGTGTCGCCATGCTGCTGCGTCGTACAGCAGATCTGGGGGAAAGAAAGGGAGGAGACGTGATGGAAGAGGAGGGAGAAGGGGCGGCGGCGACGACGAAGGGCGGTGGTGGTGGCGGGTGAGAGAGTGAGGAAATATGAAATGGATTAGGGTTTGGGTTTGGATATGATGTTATTTTTAAAATAAAGTTGGTAGGGTAGTTAGTGGGGTGGGGTGGGCATATAGATTAATTTAATTTAAAATATTATTATTAATATTAATTGTGAAATTAAAACCTGATTTTTGATTAAATAAAGCAAAAACCTGATTTTTAGAAAGTTAAAACCAGTGCTCTAAAATTCTTGAAAATGTGGCGCCAGGCGCGGCGCGCGACAAAAACGCATCGCTTTTGTGATATGCGAGTAAAAATGCGGTCAACAGTTTTTGTTGACCGCCTGGNCGTGCATTAGGCAAGCCTATGCGCGCATTGAGTCGCCTACATTTTTTTTTCGGATATAATAAAAAAAATTATTTTTTTAATATAAAAATCTATTTATTATATTAAAATAATATTAAAAGTACGAAACGCATTATGACGCATATTCTCCGCATTGTCACGCTTAAACTTGTGATTCTTGATTCTCGACATCGACGCATCGCAACGCATTACGTATTTTAGAACACTAGTTAAAACTAAACACCTGGTCTAGTGTAATTTCCACATAAAAAAATGCTTGAAAATGTGGTGAATCAAATAAACTGTGTGATTAGTCAAAAATAAATTTGGCGAAATAAGGGATTCTTTGTTAAAAGGGATAGTCAAACAATGTAGTTGAATAAAAAGCATTTTCTCAATGTTTATAGGTCAAATGACCTCAATTAAAAAAAAAAAGGCATAAAAGGTCTAAAATATCCCTATCATGAAAAAAAATCAAATATCCTTTCAATCCAATTAAATTCCTGAATTCATCTTGAATGTATCAACGTGCTCTCCGTCTCCCTGGGCTTGCTACCCCCAAAATCTTGTTATTCATTATATTCATCACCTATATTCTCCACTATTTTGAGCATTTGAACAATAATTTTGGTTTCTATATTATTTACATTGAAATCTCTATAATATTTGAAGAAAAAAGAAAGGAATTTTTGGAAATCTCGTGTATATTGATCCTTTTATTGTTGAATATAGTATGAAATGATATTTTAGCTGATTTTTTTCCACAATTGGTGTATTTCTGTACTGTCTGCAACTATTGGACGAACTGTAGTACAGAACAACACTCCAACCGTTTTACGTAGTGTGGAACGACACTACAGTCGTTATCTTCCACATATATATCCACTGCCAAACAAGGCGGACTGGAAAATTCTCGATAACGTTCGATCAAGAAAGGTGATACGACTGTTGACATGAAGAGGAAGTGACGTCTACCAAAAAAGAGGAAACAATCATCCGGAGAGGTACGCAAGTCTCGTAAGTGTAATGGTTGTTTGAAAACGGGGTATAACCGTATCACTTGTAAAGATCGTATACCAATCAGCGAGAGACATGAACGATGAAGACAATACAGCACATATGCGACTTTTGTAATGTTACGATGTACTGCTTTTGTAATATTGAAAAATGATGGTGGAGTTATGTTTTGATATACTACCTTTGTCATTTTGAAAAGCAAACTATTTATAATGTTTTACATCTTTATTTAATGCGCTCATATGACTATTTTATGCCTAAATGTACTTAGTATTCTCATATTTTGGTTTAGGTGACAACTCGATGAATATGGCGTAATTTGGAAGAAATAGGTGAAAATAGACCAAAGAGAAAGGAAATGAAAGTTCAAGGACTGCGTACAAATACACAAAAGTTGTGTCAAACCAAACGATGAAGATTTGAGAGTCAATTGGTTGAAATAAAATGTCAAATGGATGAAATATCGTCAAAGTATGATCGCACATCAATTTCCAATCGAAAAGTTATACACCGATTTTCAGCCTCATATTAAGACCCATTTTCGACATAGGAAACGATCGAATTGGAAGATAATATCTGAAGAAAAGTTGTATCTCTTTGAGTTATCTTTCCAACGCATCTTGAATCTCCTTAATTGGATATCGAAAGAAGAAGATATGATCAAAATACTGAAGGCTATTCGGAAGAAATTTCATAAAACCATGCGGCCGCATAGACCATTACCGAAAGTTTGAAAGCTGAGTTCATTTGTTCCATGCAGCTGCAAGCTTTTAAACCATGCGGCCGTATGGTTCATTTCAGATACGAAAATTCTGGTTTTCTAATTTAAGTCAACTACCTATGGAAACAACTATAAATACATATTTTAAAACCCTAGAACGTACAAAACGCCTCCAACCTATTTTATCTCTATTTTTCTTAGATCTACCATTTGTAACTAACTCTTGGTGCTTGATTGAAGGATACTGAAGCCCTGGAACACATTATAACTGTGAGATCCACCTATTTTCATTGTTTAATTTATATTTTCAGTATTGAATATTCTTCTATGCATAATTTTATGATTGTCATGTTTGATTGCTAAGAGATCTATTAGTTTTTCATATATTGCAATCTATAACTAAGTTAAATCTCAAATCCGTAATT